CTGACTGTAAATAGGAGATGACACAGTCTGCTCATGTGCTCTTTATTATAAGAGAACTGAGCCAGAACTGAACCGTGACAAGCCCTACTGTTGGACTAGTAGCAGTTTAGCTCGGCTCAGTTGTGTCTGGCGCTGCCCAACTCAGTTGTGTTCTATTTACACTCAACAGTTATCGCGGTTGCAGACAGAAAAAAATGGGGTTTCTGTTTGGGAAAGAATTAGCTGATCAGATATGAGTCAGTTTTCATGTCAAAGGATGAAATATATAATTCATTTAGCTAGTCTCGATTAGCAGCTAAGCCCATGGCTATGGCTAGGAGAGAATCAGGACTAAACACTGAAAAACAGGTCCTACTCTGTCATCTCTAAGCTGTTGATGACAGCAGAACAGCTGCATTAGTGGTTCGAACTTCACCTGCGCTCATGGGCAATGTTCACTCTCATTTTTTATGTATCTGGCAGTAACCACTCAGAGGCGCCGTGAGTTTACTAAGGAACACTGGGAGCGACAACAAATGTGCAGGATGAGGCCACACCAACATTAAAACTTGATATAAACCCAGGATCATAGCAAGTTACATTGCTTATTTAATTAATAACAGGCTAACACAGCAATTTCCACAGTTTACCTTTAATTTAAGTTATTTTTTCCACTTTAAATGAAAAAAAAGAACAAATTAACTTCATGAGATGTGTAAGATGATATCTGTAAGATTCTATTTTTCACATCTGCACTTCTGTCTGCAGATTGACTTTGGAATTGAAGTTTAAAGAAGTTGGTTATTCAAGAAGGAAATTCTGTTTCTCCTTTTCGAAAAGGTTAAATAAAAAAAACAACCTAATAATTATTGATGCTGGGAGGGTCAACTTTACAATATTATTGCAGAAATAGCAGTGTTTGAGCTCAGAGATTATTTGTATTTATGAGAAGTAAAGCATCAACACTGAATTCAGGCTCATTTCTATTTACCAGAGAACTTAGATCGCATCATTAATCTGGTGCAAATAGGATTCACAGTTTGTTTAAGCTCCTTCCAGCGGTGGTACCAACTGCTTCCTGCTTGCAGGTTTCTTACCTTAATAAGTCCGTGCCTTCGCTCACAGGGTGTCAGGACAGGAAGAGAGAAAACAGCTTTTTTGCACTTCAGTCTCATGCATATTTTCTTTGAAGCTAATGAGAGCCTTAAATACAGTGCCAGACATCAGGCAGCACTGCTGAAGGCTGACATTTTCACACACATTGGCACCTTGTCAGTGTGGATGAAGTCCCTGTACCTGGCTGTTGACAAAGGTGTGTGTGTGTGTGTGTGTGTGATGGTGTCCTTCTTTGTACCTTAAGTGCGTTTTTGTGGAGCTTTCCAGTTATTGATGTAGTTTGCATATGTAATGTGTGGAGCTGCATACATTCAATGTTTGCTTCAGGATGTATTAACATGCATAAGAGAACCAGAAAAATGTTGGGTACTCCACTTCTACTACAGAGTATGCGTGCATTTATATTTATTCTGCTGATCCATTTTATATCTTCTATCGGTTTATGAAAATGTGTAAAATAATAATATTTATTACTGATCTGAGTGAAAAACAAAAAGTCTAATGTAATTTTATTACCAAAAATAATTAACAAAAAACTTCAAACTCAGCTCTAATCGATATTTGGAGGGCATTTTTTAGTGCTTCAAATCACATTTCTGATTTAACTCCAAAGCTGAAAGCTGCCAGTCCTGCAAACACGTGGTTAAAAAGCAGTGGTGTTTAATTTATTGTTTTATTTTAGTGTTTTTCAACCGCTTTAGACAGATTTGGGAAATTGTTCTGGAATGAAATCAATTAAAAACTGATCCCATCTTGAGCATAAGTTCTGTTCGACAATTCCAGCTTCAGGTTGAGGTTTGTTTAAAATCGTAGGGAAGTCATATTTAAAGGTCAAATCATTCTGACTTAAACATGTATATATGCTCTTTATATTTATATACATCTTTAGCTTTGATAAAGCTATCTCTATGCTTGTGCTGCTATAGGCTTAGACTGCTGGAGGACATAGGGAACCCCATTTCATCATTCTGCTTCATTCTCTCTCTATTCTCCCACTCTGCAGAATCTATTAGTTCAATCTCTAACGTTCTGCTCTCTCTGTTTTTTCTCATAGTAGCTTTATCTGGTCTGTTCCTGTTTGGCTGCGACTCCATCCTGGAGAGAAACACTAGCTGTGCTGCTGCTATCAACACCTTTGTATATAGATGCTGGAGTTTGGCCTGTTTTCCAGTGTAGTCCTGTTTCTCTGAACGTGACTGGCTGGATGTGCCATCTTCACCCTCTGACATTGAGTTGGCTCGGAGCTCTGCCTGGTTGTGTGTTTCCTGGACGGGGCCGCCTTTTACATCTGCTTTTGGATATGTGCTTCTGTCTCCTTGAACCCCAGTCGGCCTCTGCAGATGGCCGCTGACACTGAGCCTGGTTCTGTTGGAGGTTTCTTCCTGTTAAAAGGGAGTTTTTCCTCTCCACTGTCGCTACAAGCATGATTAGTGTGAGGGATTGATAAAATGTCTGAGGGAGGAGACTCATCCACGACCTCTGACACAAAGCTCCGGCCAACCAGCCACAATTAAACTTGCTTGTGAACCTTCCGCCACAACAATCCTGCCCCCTTGATAAATGACCAATCACATTCACTTTATTCACTCTTGTACTGTCGGGCACCACTTGGGAGATTTCAGATATGCAACGGTTGGAACAGCCGCTTCCCATCGACTTTAAGCAGAGAAGTTCAGTTAACAGCACTTTCAGCATCAAACTGAGCAGATCTGATATTTTTCCCCCTCTTTTGACTGACAGCATGCAGGCGTTACGCTTAAATGTTCTGTACCTTTTAGACGTTTTCCTGTTCACACCTACCTGAATAATCTGTAAGGGTTATAAACGGGTGTTTGAACATGCAGGTCTGTGGGAATATGTGCAGCAGCACTTTGGAAATATCATTTACTACCTCTCAGTGTTAGTGAAAAAATACTTTACTTCATCCCTGGGTTCTCTTCTGCATGAAGTTGGTGACTAACGCTGGGCTGAATGGGGCTGTAACATCAGGACTGAGCAATTCGATAAAGTTAAGCCTCTTTCCCAGTAATTTAGCACATTCCAGAGTCAAACAAGAGTTAGCACTTCTAACACCGGCATAAATTAGTCTCAGTGAATTAAAAGGTCAGCTCTTTTTACACTCAATAAAGCAACAGATGTACCTAATATCACCTGCAGGTGGCAATAATCCAAAGGAGGTAGCTTCACCTGATCAAGCTAACCTCTAAATTAGGTCTGTCCAACAGCTGATTAGCAATAACTAACGATGGCTGCAGGGTCAGTGGCTTTTATAGATCTCAGTAGCAGTAAAATAAAAACTAACCAGTTTCCAGGAATTATTAAAAACTTCTCTGAACATGTCAGGTGAACATGCTGATGTGTGTCGTACCAAGTAATGTAGCGGCTCCATTCACATTAGAGCGGGTCCTGTAAACTGCAGGGTCCATTTTACCTGGGTCACTTCTGGCTATACTCAAACATAAATGTAGATCACAAGTAGGTTGTGGGAAGTGGAGTCTTGTTTCTCTGACTGTGACTAACTGGATGTGCTCTCTTTATCCTCTAACATGGGAGCTGGCTCAGAGCTCGTCTGTGTGGCTGTGTGTTTACTCTACGGGTCCGCCTGTGGAGCAGGTTTACAGTTGCGTTTTGTATTTCTGATCTTTTTCTATGTCTGCTTCTGTCTCCTTGAACCCCAGTCGGCCTCAGCAGATGTCCGCTAACACTGAGTCTGGTTCTGCTTGAAGTTTCTTCTTTTTGAAAAGGAGTTTTTCCTCTCCACTGTCTACAAGCATGCTTAGTGTGACGGATTGCTGAAGAGACAGAGTTGGTTTTCCTTAGATCGAATATATATATATATATATATATATATATATATATATATATATATATATATATCTCAACCTGTGATTAAAGAAACAAGTGTAAATGTATGAATTGTATGACTGGCCCATTCTTAGGGGCATTTAAAAATATATATAAACTATATATAACTGACCTATTTTTTTTTATTGACTGAATTTTTTGTATGTCACTTTTATTTTTTACATTTTTTCCCAAGTTATTTCGGATTGAGTTTAATGAATGGTGATTTTTCCAAAATGTGTTTTCCAGAACACATTATTTGTCTAAAGTAAAGTCTCATTTCTATTGGTTGATAGCCTGACATTAGCAACAACATTTTGATTGGTCGAAAGTGAGCATTGGCATTGGGCTTTCATGGTAAAAGAGCGTGAACTAAGAATGCAATCATGAAACCCAATCTAAAAAATACATGGCGGAAAAAATTCAAAATTGAAAATAAAACAGAAAAGAAAATAATAAACCTTCTTTTTGATTAAGAAGTTATTTAGTATTCATAATTTGGTTGAATGTTTTTTATTTCCATTTGCAAAGTGTTTGTTTTTTGCAACAATAATAAAACAAAATTTACTATTTAACTTTAAAGGTGGTAGGTCTTTTATTCAATTATCTATTTATATTCAACCTAATTAAAAAAACTTTATTAATCGGAAAGATAATTTAAAATCACTGCAATTTACTGCAGCTGCTTTTCTTTTTCCAGCTGTTAAAACGGCTGTTTAAGACATTTTGGGGCTGTTGAACACTTTCTATGCAAAGATAAGTCTGTAGCTTTATATGAAGCTGAGTCGACAACGTGGCATCTCATAGTCTGAGGCCCTAACACAATAGAAGAAGCTACAGGCAAGTCAATAATCATCTTTTTCTGTTTGCATGTTTGAATATGAGTGTCTATGTGCGTGTTTGTCTCCCACACGGCCCCGCTGCTGCCACTCACTGTAAACTAGTCTGCGGGTCGTCACAGACAGACGCTGACACACTCCCGGTCTAATGCTCTCATTAGGGACTGCACAGCACACACCTAATTGATAGCCACGACACACACGATGTACACACACGCATTATTGCAAAAAACAGTTTCTTTTTTTAATGCTGCAGTAGAAAACAAGGTTATACGAAGTCATATAATGGGGATTCATTGTCAAGAACAACAACAACAGAAAAACCAAAGAATGAAATGAAAAAAAATGGAAAAGACGAACGGCACAGAATGCATAAGTGTCTGTGCCCTTTACATGCCCGTATTTTACACAGAAGTACTTTTTATATTATCATTATCGTCATTATTTATTATCACTATCATTATTATTTTTTTCTGGCAGTTGTCAGTTACTTCAGTAAATGAAGTGCCAAAAAATGTAGCAGAACTTGTCACTCAAGAGGTTAGAGTAACCATGGTTACCTTTCATATCCCAAAAAGATAAAGCTGCAGTGTGGAATCACGGCAGAGTAATTAGACAGAACAAAAAAAAAAAAAAAAAAAAAAAAAAACAGAGGACCAATCAAACAGGCATTCAGCAATATGAAACAACCAAGAGTGCTTTTAAATAACAGTTTACACAGGAAATATATTCATAAAGGAACATCTTTTTGTACAACCATATTCATATTTGAGCGTTCTTACAAGGGCACGTTTTTACAGCCGTCTCCGCTTTAAAAAAAACAAAAACTTTTTTTTTTTAGCAGGAGCTGAGATTGAAAAGATTTGCACTTTTACCTCTTTTTCCCCCCCCAGGATTTTCAATTACATGACACCTTTATAAAACTATTGTGCAAAACAAGTTTATGTCTTCATATAGTGTGCACCTGCAAATAGTCATTTTCCCTTTAACTTAAAAAATATAGAAATGATGCATAATTTAAACAGGAATTAACTGGATGTTTTTATTTACATATTGTACACAGACCTGAATAATATAGGTCCCTGATTAATCAAAGGAAAATATTTCATTTTCTTTCTTCTCCATACAATGTTTGTGTATAGACCTCCAGTCCTAAAATGAAGCTCAGGGTCAAATCCTTGCACCTAAGAAAGAATGCTTCCCAAACCCTTTTACGTTTGGGATGAGATTCGCCACGGTAGTTTTGACATCCAGCAATGCAGAAATAATGTACAGTAACTATTTTATTTCTATGCTTTGAAGTTCCCACAAGGTTAAATCTTAAATGCAGACTCGTGGATTTAAAAGAAAGCAATTAGCAGTGAAATATTAAAAAAGAACAAAAAGGCATAGAAATTACAGGACAGAGTATTATGGCCATATTAAGACATTAAGATTTTTATTGGTACCAGAAAGGAGTAACGTTACAAGAATAAAGTCACTGCGCGATGAAAATAGTCATAATAGTATTGACGTCAAATATTATGAGAAAAAAATGTAATATTAATAAGACGAAAAGCTTTAACGAATTTAATCTTGCAATGTTTTATTTCTCTTCTATATTAGAATAGATAATACTAGACCTCATATATTATTTTTGTAATGTTAGGACTGTATCACTATAATATTACAAATCTGTATTGTTTCATTTCTACTGTTATAGATTAAATTAAATTTAATTACTTTATTTCCATAATATTACAAATGTATTCTTTTAGTTTTAGGACTTTAATGTTGTCAACATAATATGAATTAATTTTCATAATATTTAGCAACTATTTACGTTCTGTTAAACCCAATGACTTTACTTTAACAAGGTTACGACTTATGCTGGTATTATTTTAACTTAAATCTCATAATATTCAAATTCTATTCCTGTAGATTTATTATTTTATTTCTGTAATATTACAATGTTATTCTTGTTATTTTTACGACTTTGATCTCATAGACCTAATATGATATCTTTATTTTTATAATTAAAAATAATTTATATCTTTTAATATGACCACAATACGCCGTCGTAAAATTGCACCAGATCTAGATATAAAATATTTAACAAGATGGTTTTATTGATATGCATGCAGCAAAAACTATCAATAACCCTAATTTCTTTTCAACACAGAAAAACCAATCACACAATTTTAGGATCTCTTATACCTTCATTTAACTTTATCTTTTTATCAGGTAAAAAATGCTTCAAGTATGAATCTACTTTAGTCAGAGAAGACTGGTAAAAAGAAGAGATTAGGGCTGGAAAAGGTCTTCCTCACATGAAAAAAGCAACAAAAAACCGCCAAACAACAGAAAAACTCGAACAACACAAGTTAAAAACAATGTGCCAACACTCTTAGCAGTAGTTAAGTGGCATCTTTGTGCAGTTTTCTCTTGTTATGCTCCTCTTTTAATGTCTGTCAAAGACTAAAGAGTGAGACAGCAGGAAAGTCATCTGTACTGTAAAAAGCCTCGCATCGTACAGTGCTACTGTTTCTCCAGCTCACACACATACATCAGATGGTCCTCAGGGGATTTTCCATGCGTCTTGCTCAAGTGAAGTTTAACTGCATGCTTGCTCGCAAAAGTCCGGTTGCAGAGCTTGCACTGGTAGACTGCGCCAGTTTCATCATCATCAGGAGTGGAAGTTGGAGATTCAGTCGAAGGCAAAGACGCCGATAAAGACGAGGAGAGTGAGACTGGTAACGATGCCGGCACGGAGGTCGGAAGGGAAGATGGCAGCGGGTGGCTGGATGGGTGCAGACTAGAAAACAGCTTTTCGGAGAGTCCTTTGGAGTGACGATGGTGATGATGTTGCTGTGATATCTGACTGAGCAGCTGCTCCCCAGAAAGTTTAGCAAGGTCTCGGAGACGAAAGCCTAAGTGGGATTCAAGGTGGCTCACGTAGGTGGATGGTGAGCGAATCTGGGAGGCGCAGTCACTGCAGAAGAACACTGGGTGGCCTGAATCTAAGTTTTTCAAGAACTTGGTGCCACCGGTTCTTCTCAACTGGTACTTAACATTAGCCAGCCAGTGGGATATTGTAGTCATTGACAAGCCTGTGAAACGGGAGATGTGCATTCTATCCTGTGGGCTCAGGTCAGACATCATGTATTTGCCATCATTTGTTTGTCTCAAACTGGAAGCAAACTGGGCCTGTAGTATAAGGAGGTGTTGAGGGTTCCAGTTAGACTGGCGGCCTTTGCGCTTCTGAGCAGGAGAAACATCTTCGATTTCTTCTTGCGTGGCACCTTCAATGTCAGAGCGCTCGGACTGACTGGTTGGTGTGGAAGACTTGGACAGAGCTTGGCTTTCTGTCAGGTTCCTTAGCATGTCAGAGATATCCGACAGGGCGTTTTCTCTCAAAGGTGAGTTTGACATGAAGGAAGCTACTGTGGCGGAGGCCTTTGTCATAGTGACTGCAGAAGATGGAGAAATTGATGGGGTGGAGTTGGTAGAAGAAAGAGTAGTTGAACTTAAAGAACCACCGTTAGTGCCTTTATCAGCATTTCTTCCTTTGGTGAGATCTATAGGTTGGTCGTTTAGATGTTGCTGGTAGAAGTAGCGATCTAAATGGTCGTTATTGGCCTTTTTGGTGTGAGCCGGTGGGGTGGAGGAGGCCACTGCTGCTTTTTCTGCCAGGCTGTTGCTCATCTTAAACAACATGCTCATGGGGTCAAGCGATGGCAGTGCAGGCTTAGCGGCCTTCCCCAGGTGGACGTTCATCACTGATTGTAAAGCACTGAGAGGGTTGACAAATGGCTGTTCGGGAGGTGGGTGGTCTGTAATAATGGCCGTACTGCCACGCAGAGAGGCAGGCAGTGGGGGTGTTACAGCAGTGGACTCCACTCCATTCTCCCCAGACTGCTTTGTGGAAGCACTACTATTGGCATCTTTTTGGCTTGTTCTGTTATCCTCAGATACTGTTTCCCGATCACCTGTATTTTCAGGAGTTTTGCGGTCCTCTGCTTTGTTTCTTTTGGGTGACTCTCTTCGGGTTGTTTCTTCTGCCTCACTGATGCAGGGTGAAGGTGGGGTTCTCCTCAGAGGTATATCACTCGCAATCATACTGGGATCTCTCATTTTCTCTTCAACCTTAGCTACTTTCTCTGTCACTTTTTTAACAAGCTCCTCCATTGCTTGAAAGTTGTTTTTAGGCAGTGGAGAGGTCTGGCAGCTGGGAGGGGAAATAAGGGGTTGACTCTTGCCAGTAGGAGAGAGGATCTCACCTCCAGGAAACATATATTTAAGGGGGGAGCTCTTTCCAGAGGTCCCAAGAGATAGCTTCATAATATTTGGGAGCTGATAGGCTGCATGGATGCTGGGATATCCACCCCAGCTTGGAGCTCCATTCTGGGCTTTGTTGATGGCTGAGGTCACTGTGTTCTCCAAGGACTTGAGGATGTCAAGCCCCCCCTTTGGACTTTCATCCAGATCCTCTTCAGTCAAATAGCTGTACTTTGAAGGGATATCAAACTTCTCTTCAGCTTCCTCCTCCATGTCTGCCCTCTTGTCCTTGTTGTGGTCATTGGCTGTGTTGATACTGACCTCTTGAGTACATTCCTCCTCCTTTTCTTCCTTCTTTATTTCGACAACCATTGCCATCGGCGAGATGCTAGTTGGAGGAGGCACTGGCGCAGGGGGAGAAGAGAAAGTTGTGGCAGCCAGGGGAACTGATTGCACCTTTTCTCCGACTGTTGAGTTGGATGTGGGAGCCTGGGACTCTATAATTGGCTTGCCCTTCTTTATAGCAGAATTTGTAACTTTAATAAAGTGTCCTGTCACCATCATATGAGCAGTAAGTTCCTGCAGGGAGTCATGAGAGCTGCCACACTCCATGCATTTGAGGATTTGCGACTTCCTGGATTCAAACTGCCAGGCGTAGCTGGCACCATTCTGATGCCCATAGCGATTGTTAGGTGTAATGTATGGGTTGCTGATCTTTTGCAGTATGTCGTTCGTGTCACTGAAGGTGGTTGGCTTAGGTGTGGTGCCTCCATTAGAGTCGGGTGAACTGGGGATTTCCAAATCAACGGGGGCTCTTTTTCGAGCAGAGGAGATAATCTTTGCGGCTACCGGTGTAACAGGTTCCTTCAGAGGCACTTTCTGGTAGTGTTTAGTCTTGATCATGTGGACACTGAGATCTTGGAGGGATTCAAAGGAATGTCCACAGTACATACACTTAAGTACTTTTTGTGCATCTTCTTTCCCTTCCATTTCTAGTAAGGAGCGTTTCCTGGGTTTTGACCAACGTTTTGTTCCCTCACTGTCTGTCTCATGGTTATCATCACGATAGTGGCCTGTCTCATTCATGTGCACAGTAAGCTCCACCAGAGTGTCATACGCAGCACTGCAGTCTTTACAACGGAACTTGCTGGCACCAGTGAATATAGAGCCGTATAGTTTGGAGCTTTGGCGGTAGAGCTGGACAGTGCTGAAGAGGTTGGGTTCTGTAGAAGCTGTTGTTACCGCTACTGTAGGATGCTGCACCAAACTTAGTCTGTTGTGGTGGTTCTGGGAAGCCTGCTGGAGACTTTTAGCCACTGCAGATTGATGCCAGTCGTAACCTCCGCTACCACAGCTACTGCTGCTGCTGCTGCTACTACTGCTACTGTGACTGCGAGGGGGCTTCTCTGCAGGAGGTTGACTCAGGTTCAGATTCAGCGTTGACCAATAGGAATTGCTCAGAAAGGAAGTGTAAATTGCCTTCATTTTCTCCAGGCTGTCAGCCACAGAACTTGTGGCAGCCAAAATAGCCTCTTCTCCACTTACTGAGGAAGCAGCATTAGTGGCAGCCATCATGACTGAAGAGGAGTTGGGAGACAGTTCATTGGAAAGGTCTTTAGAAAGAAGGACATCATCCTCATTTTTAAGGGAGGAGCTTTCAAAATCTGACATTCTGTCTGATGATTCACTCAAGTGAGATTCACTGTCCAGTTCCTGACCAGAAAAGTCAGCTGCGTTGGGGGAGCCATGGATGCCAGCAGATTCTGGCCTTTCCTTGAAAAGGAAATCCTTGTCCTGACAAAGGAACTTGCTTGCAGGTTCTTCGCCTTCTTGTGCAGATTCTTCACCATCTACATCCTCATCCAACAAGGCTACTTCCTTCTCATCATCTGGGACATAAGCTGTTTAGAGAAAGAGAAAAGAACAAAACAAAACTTTGTTAGGATCCCACTGAAAAACATATAATATTTTCAAAGTGTTTACTTTGCTCAACGGTAGCTTTAGTCTTTAGGCTCCCCAAATACTCGATTGAAAGGTCTCTGAAGTCTACCTTATGGTCATGTGGACCCAAGGAAGGGTGCCTTGAGTTCACACAGACTAAAGGCAGACTTTGAACTGACAGTTGTACACAAAGCAACATCATTTAAGACTGGGTATGTCATCTTAAACATGCACTAGGAGTGTTCCCAGTCGAGTCTAAAGTGGCGCGCAAAGAAAATCATCTTCTCCAAGTCCGAAGCAACGGTTTTCAACCTGAACAAGGTGGTTTGTCCCCTTCAGGTCAAGGGAAAGTTCCTGCTTGAAGTCTAAGGGTTCAAGTATCTTGGGACCCTGTTAAAGAGTAAGGGGAGAATGGAGAGGCTGCTGCTATAATGCAGACACTGCCACATTCTGTTGTGGTGTAGAGCGAGCTGAGGCCAAGGGCAAAGCTCTTGATTTACCATGGATGTTCCTACCCTCATCTATGTTGTTTGGCGCTCCCTTAGAGTTAGAGAGAGGAGCTCACTCATCTGGGAGATCGAGGGGTAGAGTCGTTTCTCTTCCACATCCAGCAGTGTCAGCTGAGATGGCTCAGACATATTTTACTGATGCCTCCTGGATACGTTCATCTAAAGGTGTTCGAGGCACGTCCCACTGGGAAGAGACCCAGGAGACGACCAAGGACACAATAAGGAACTATGTCTTGCGGCTATCCTGGGAGTGCCTCAGGCTCCCCCCAGCAAAGTTGGATGGAGGGAAGCTGGATAGAGGGAATCTGGGAGTCTGATGTGACTGCTGCCTCCGCGACAAAATGTGTCACCAATCTGACAAGGATCCCCAGGCAATAGCAGGCAACGACACATTGCTCAGAACTAGTCGCAAGACCCACAATGTTTCAGCCACTCCCACTGTATGGTGGGATAAAAAATAGTGCAATATGCCCAACTAGACTTTGTTTTTGGTTTTGTAAAGTTAGAATGAAAAATCATCCCATAAATCAGTACTCTCCACTATGTAGGCTGAAACCTGTATACACACAATTCTCTTTCCACATGCATATGTGGAGGCCTTTTTCTAATTTTTGTTACAATTACATTTTAATTTCTCTCATCTGTACTTGAAATGGCAGCCCCCGTATTCAGTGTCGGATGAAATAAACCACTGAGAATCAAGGATAGAGAAACTAAGGGATAGAAGAAGAGCAATAAAATGTGGGAGAGGGAAAAAAATAGTCTCCTCAAAAAGAACTCGCCACCTTATTCTTCTCAAGGGGCAGCAGCTTGAAATTAAAACTAAATTTGAAATTAATGAAGCACATTCTGGCGATGGCATTCGTTTCTGAAGTAATAAATTACTTGTATCAACCTCGGAGACAGCGGTTCCTGTCTGTCAATTAATATGTCTTACGCTTCTTCTGCAGACTCTAATGCATTCCCTAACAGACACACTCACCATTTAAATTAAGCATGCGTTTTCACTCATTACACCGCTCAGCCTTCGCCTCCTTGTAAATAAAAAAAAATAATAAATCCATGTATGTTTGTGAAGACAAATCTCTCCATGTAAAACCCATTTGCTTCAATTACCAAAGATTAGAAAAAAAAAACTTTAGGTTATTATTTACAGTTTAGCTTCAGTGAGAGGCCTTGAAGCTTTTAATTTATATTCAAATCGCTCTAGTTTAAGAATATTACAATGGAAATCATACAGTAAAAAAAACACGTATCAAGACAAATCACATCTGTTAATCTCTGAATGTTTCCTTTTGTTGTTAAGTCTATAAAAATCATAAACAGCATCAGATGGGAAATGATTTATGTTCACGCTCTGCGGTTTGGTTTTTGAATAAGTAAAAAGCAAACACACACAGAAGCACATGCAAACCTAAACCTTCAGCAATGTAGATGGTGACATGCACACATGGCTGCAAACCCGAACAGAACAAAGGATAACCTCACAGAGGAGCTAGCATCTCTATGGGGTTTATAAACTTTCTGCAGTTTAAACTAAAGTGTTGCACATTGATTAAATTTAAATAACTGCCCATATTTTTTCTATAACAAATAATCAAAGCTATTTTGGGTTGTGAGAACCTGAAAAGCTAAGAGTTAATCCAGGTCTCGGTTTTATGTTGTGAAATGTGAGAAAAGCAACATAGCTATTAAAAACAAGCTGCCAAATGTTAAAACAATGTACTTCCTGTACAATGACAACAACACGTTTCATATTAAAGTTTAGTGGTTAGAGAGTAAAGCTTTTGCTTCTTGGCATTTAAAACTAAAACCTTTACTCTACAAAAAAACCATAAAGATGTCGGTAAAATCTGCAGATGAATTTCCTCCAAAGAGTCAAAAAGCTCTAAATGATAAGCATGAATCTCAGGTAAAAACTTTAAGTATTGTTTTCACCACTACTTTTACATAAACTGGGGGAAAAAAATCAAATTAAAGAAAAGAAAAGTCTTGAACTAGAGATTTTAAGGAATATTGTTGCCTTCCAAGTTTTTAGGTCGGCCAAATAATAACAGGTACAACTGATCCCCTTTTGGTTTATGAGTGTTTTAAAAATAAAAACTGATCTTTATTTAATGTTAGATAATTACATGTTTATTACATATAAGTTAATTTCATCCACTCCATTTTTCAAACTTAACTTTAAAATTCATACACACAACAATGCGGAAACTCTTTTTTCAACAAGTCTGTTACCTGATCTTTTCTACAATGTTTACATCCTTATTTTCTCAGTTATTAATGTTCGCTTTATTACATTTTTTAGTATTTGAAAATATTCAGAATAATAATGATACCATAATAAGTATTTTTCTCATCATTTCCATGAACTCTAACATCCATAAAATTCAGATTTTTCTATATTTTTTGAAAGTCAACCATTCTTACTGACTCTCTTTTATTTATGAACTCCATTCCACAAATTACTTTTTTTTAATGAGACACAGGTTTGATCCACGCTTTTGGTTTTAAATCTTTTTTTTATTATTATTATTATCACTATGATGATATATATATATGATAATATATATTATTATCATCATACCTGTTCGCTTCAGATTAGTTTGATTTTCTTTAACCTTTCTTAGATGCTCAGTGGCAATATTTTTCTTATTACCTTTATAAAGAAAAAACAAAAAAACTGGAACATTTCATGATTATTAAATCATAAAATTTGAATCTCTTACAATTAAGAAAAAGTGACCGTTAGGTTAACTGTTGATGACTATAAACAAACACCACTGACAGACGGATGGATGCAATTAATAATTGTTTGATGCTTTTAAATGTTGATTACTGTCTTCTTTTTTCATAAAATCAATCTTTTCATGACAGATATTCTTATTTCCTCCTCCTTGCTCATATAGGAACCTACATCCATACATAGAAATTTTCTCTCCCTTTATTCTATAATGATGTTCCCTAAAGTAGAGACATCATGGATGTGAACATTTCACCCATTTGTTTGTCTTTTTTCTTTCTTTTTTAATATCTCCACTCCAGCTGTGGCTGGAGTTCATGGACTCGTTGCACGGTGTTTCCTCTCCATGTAACCTGCTAGCTGGCATCTCATAGTGAGCTCCTCAGGGCTGTGTGTGAGGGTGTGCATATGTGCGTACTGTAGGAGCAGCAAAACAGAGAGGAGTCTTTGTCATTGTCTCTGTTGCCATCGGCGATGATACAACAGTGCCGTGAGATAAACAGATGCACAGAGGTCCCGGAGCCCCTTACATGTCTCTCACACACACACCGGCTCTACGATAAGTGCAGCACGGGAACAACTTTCTGCCCGCGGGGCGAGAAGCGTTTGTGTTTCTTTGTGGAACATGTGATCTGTTCCAGCGCTGTCTCACAGTGAGAGCCCTTAAACATGCTGCAGGGTCACATGACACCCTTCCTCTGCATGCGTTTATGCTCATTCATTTTAGGGCAGTAATGGACTGGAGCGATGATCCATTTTAGCTGCATTTTTTGACACTAGTGAAGACAATACACAGATTACTGTTTCCACGCGTCGCCCTGTTTCTCTCTCCTCTCTCTCTTTCCCCGTCTGTCTCAGAGACACATCAGCCGCCTGCACATACGTGCAGCCGAGGAGACCCGCATGTACACGCCATCTGTTCTGCATCAGCCAAAACGACAGCTGTGTAAGAGAATAACGCTACGAACAGCTGAAGCCAAACCTCAATGTGGAATCACCTTTAAAGCACAAGGAACACCTCAAACAAGCTAGATTTGTGTGAAAAGAGCAAAATATGGATTTGTTTGTCTGTGCAGCCATCTGTGTCCCTGCAAGTGTGTGATAGTTAAAAAAAGACAATGAGGAAGTGAAAAGTTTGCCAAAATAATCACCTGCTGAGTTCAATAATCTCCTGCAGCAGTGGACTGATTCATCCTGAAGCACTGAGAGCATTTTCAGACTCAGACGGGATATTTTAGACCGGTTATAAACGCAGAGGGTTCAAAGTAGAGGTGAAAATGGTCTGATCCACATGGGCACATCTAGTCAGTCTATTTCAATTAGTGATTTAATTTAAACATCTCTTGACAAAGATGTTTTACCCATTTATGGGCGCCTGCCTTTAGTTTGAATAAATACAGTTAATCTGAAGTCTTCCAGCTATTCTATTTGTCCTGTTAGGAATATTTCCTCTTTCTATATCTTCCTTTTATGACCTCACACTGATCAAGTTACCCTTTGGGATGTAAATATAAACATAATGAGTATCATAACGCTTGTAGAGAGGAGTTTATGACAGCCTCTAAAAAACCTGCAGTAATGCTGACATCATTAAAGCCAACAGATCTGTTATCAGAAAATCAGGAACTTTTCATTAAGTCCATATTTCTGTGTTAAAATGTGTTGATATTGGTGTTTAATGTACTTTCATGAGCTGCAACCTGGAAAC